GCAAACACACAAGCACACAAAAGTTTCGGATGGCACAGTGTCCATTGATCAACTACCTCTGATCAAAGTGGAGCCCAAATCCAAAAAGTCCTTCAAGGAGTTCTTTCAGGTCATCCGCAATGTGTCTGATGTGGATGTGGCTGCTATTCGTTCAGTGATGAGTGAGGCATCACCAAAATATGCTCATCTACCTGCATCTGTCCGTCCACGTGATGCTCTTGGTGACTCTTGTGTACTTCAATTAGTTTTGGAAAAATCTGCTCATGCTTCCTGGACAGTCCTCAAGTTCTACCACTCTACGGTGTCAATTCCAATGGGCTTGGCCAAAACTCTTTGCAACAATAACGTCCTCACCATCGACTACAAGATTTGCTCTAATTCTGATGTCGTCAAGAAGGGCTTCATGAAGATGTTGAGCAAGATTCCAGGAGACCAGTGGCTAACACAAGAAGTAGTGGACAAGCCACAGATTCAACGGCATACTTCCAAGGATGGAGACAACAAGACTTGGAATCCAGATGAAGAAGAGCTTCGCTGTGGAATAGCCTACATCAATGAACATGCTCCTCTGGCCAACGCTCACAATGAGCAATATCTTTGGGTATTGCTGAACATTCGTGATGAGGCATCGCCGCTCTACGGTTGGCCATCTGCAGTAGTCCAGAAAGCATGCGCAAACCGGTCATCTGGCAACTGCCAGTCTGAACCGGAATGGTTCTTTCCTTTGCTGCTCTTTGACCTGAACCCCAAGTTTCTGAAATCTGTGGTGCCCCTGGTGCTTCCTTATCTTCCCAACTTTGGCTTGATGGTCCTTGGGCGAGCCGGCATTGGCAAAACTCCAACTGCACAAATTATGACCTTGGCAGTAGCTCGTCATCTTATTTCTGTTCGTGGTCTTTCTGGCATGGCTGGCTGGCGGCGATCAAAGCAAATTGACGGGTTTCGCGAGCGGCCGGGTGAGGTCAATGTGCCTGTCTTGCTGGATGACCCAAACCTCAGTGCTATCAACTTTGAAGACATCAAGTCTTTCTTAGACGTTGGTGAGACTTGCTTAGTAGATGCCCGCTACAAGCCTGCCAAATTTGTACGCAACCAATGCCGGGTGATCCTGAACAACGAATGGGATGAAACCAAAGAGCCAGATCTTTCTTTGGGTGATACCATCACCTGGGAGCAGTTCCAGGGCATGTTTGCTGTCGCCATCCAGTATGCCAAGCATCCTCACATGATGGCTATTTTGAAGCGTGCTGCTGTCATCATTGCTGGTCGCAGGGCGGTGTACTTGCGTTTGCCAAGCCAAAATGAGTCAGAGACTATTTACCGCTTCTCTGGTGATGGGATCACAGAGGATTGGCTGCTGAATGCATTTGTTTTGTCATCACCTTAGCGTTCATCTGTGTACTCTGTCTGACCAACGGTATGGGTATAGATTGCAATGCAATCTGCTGCAGTAGCTTTACGCAAAAAATGTCATGTCTTTAGCGTCTGCATCTGCAAGGTATGTTCTTGTAGTGGTTTCTGTATGTGTTTGCTTGCATGATTACTTCAATGTCATTTGACAACAAGCATATAGCTTTTTGCAGGTGGTATCTGTATTTGATTACTCTTGTTTACTTTGGCAGTTTGCATGTTTATAAACACTGACTACTGTTTATAAACACACCACTTCTTCATTGATGAAGTTACCTTGATAGTGACTGGCTCCAGCTCAAGTCTGTATCAGTGTCATCATGGCGCCCAAGAAGGTGATGTTTGTGGCTATGGGTTCTGAAGTAGAACCTGGGCGGTTTTCGTTGGATCTGCAGACGGTGGACCCTGTCATCTACCGCCCAGACCCAACTACTGATGCTGAGCCGTCAGTGCCTGTGCCCAACGCACATGAACTCCACCAGGACATCGTCAGTGGCCGCAAAGCAGCGTGTGAGTCAAAACAACAACGAACACCGAGACAGATTCAAGCGCATATTCACTATGTCCAAAGAAGCTTGAATTTAGCTCCTGGCATTTCTGGCCAGTGGTCTCGTCAAGCGCAAGATGTTCTCGACACGTGGCTCTTGAAAGATTTGAAGGGCGTGCAGAAAAGGAATATGTTGGCATTGGAGGACAAACCACCTGCTGAAAGTTCCTGCTCAAAAGCCGTTGGCAACATCGTTGAGAGCTCAGAAGCCCTGGACTCACAGCCAAAGGATGAGGATGCCAACATCTTTGAGGACCATCACTCAGAAGCCCTGGGCTCACAGCCAAATGATGACAATATGATGGACGAGGATTGCGTCAAGGAGACAACCCCCAAGGATGGCAAGGCCAAGGTCTCATCTTCATCTTCTTCGTCTTCTACCTCCTCTTCCTCGTCCTCTGACCGTACTAAGCGCCGCAAGGTAGAACTGCAGGCTGCATTGACACATCTGAAGAACTTACAAGAAGTGCACCACCTTGAAGACATGGGCGGTTGTCTGCAAATGATTAAATCCGCCATGCAGAATGTCAATGCAGCTTTGCGCTTGTAGATAGCATGAACCTCCTCTGGCATGAACCTGGGCGTATGGCGTATGAAAGATTTCATGCAGTCTATGTGCAATGTTTTTGTGGAAGTATATGCATATATATATATATGGGCGCGTTTCATGGTATTATATCTTATCCATTACTTCTCAGGGGGCCCCGAAAAGCACGCGCGCCCATATATATATATATATGTGTGTATTTGTATGTGTGTATGTGTGTACATATGTGTGTACATACGTGTGTATGTGTGTACATATGTCTTTTTCATCATTTTTCATCTGCTGAGCTGCTACGGACGTATTGCCCAATATGGTCAAAGCCCGACCAGCCAGGAAAGGGGGGGAACGCGAAATGATCTCAACATCGAATTCGAAAGCATCAACGACTCCCAAAAGCCTTGGTACTAGAGCTGGGTGTGCGCAAGAAGCAGCATCAACATCTCGCACCAAAACATCTGGCCAAGCTAATGAGATCTAATGAGTATGATTAGATCTAATGAGATCTATGATTCTATGATGTTGTCACAATCACTTCATCTGGCCAGCTTCGTTCCTCCTCCAAACCACCCGGTTCACCCCCTCCACCCCCGCCCTCTTGGAGGGCGGGAAGGCCCAACGCGCGCCTCTCATCGGCCTCGTGGAAGGCCGCCACGGCGGCCTGGCGGTCGAAGTTCCGGCAGCGTCGCACCAGCTTGACGAACCTCGGCGGAAACGGCGAATCAAAAAACGGAAGCGGTGGACCCTGGGGAGTGAAGGGGAGCCTTGAAAAGATGGTGCTGCAGATCCAAGTTCGATGGGTCCTATCATGTCCCATCCATTCTCCTGGTCTCTGAGGATGTTCTGATTCTCTCTCCAACCCGGTGGCCGGCGGCTCCAAGCTCTGCCACTGTCCAGTGTCCATCAGGCCTCTAAAGTTCCATCGTGGCGTCATGGCCAGGCCACGTGGTGAAATCCAATTCATCACCTTGAGCATCAGCCTCTGCGGGGGGGCGGAAGACAAAAGTTTTGTCAGAACGGCTATAGAGGACTCACCAGAACATGTGCTTCCAAGTTTGAAGGGTTTCAGAATGTTTCAGATGGCAAATCCCTTAGCCTTAGATGAGGATCCACAGAACTGGGGCATGTGAATCCGCCGCATTCTGCTGGGGGATGTTTAAACAAGGCACAACCAAATAGATGACTTCTTGGATGGGGCTCGACCAAACAAGCGGGGCTCCACCAAACAAGCATGGCAATAGAAGTGTATATAATACAATAATGAAAACAAGCATCAGCATAGGCCATCAACATCCATCAACTGTAGTCACAAGATGTCACAAGAAGTATGTATAAAAATGTAAAAGCCGTAAAAATGCCTGTCTCGTTGCAAGAGTCTAGCTGTCTTCACGAGTAGGTGTGGTGTTTGTGTGTCATTCTTGTAGTAAACGTCTTTGCGGATCAATGTGCCAGCCCTCGAAAGGTTCTCCTGCTGGGCAGGGGCAAGGGCAGTGCCGCTGGTTTCACGGCGCCGCGCGGCGTCGCGGCGTCGCGGCGCGTGTGAGCTTGAGGGCCTCATAAATCAATTGCTGAGCTCGGTCGAACGAATAGCAGTGGCCAAGCCAGCGAAGAACCTGCACCAGGCAGAGTACCAGGCAGTTGTGTTCAGGTGTTCGAGCGTTGGACAAAGGCATGCAAACCCATGTGTGGCAAATATGATATAGACTTAAATCAAGCAATTATAGCCAAACAGTCCAAACATCCAGCTATATCCAGCTTCTTCAGCAACCGATAGGGAAACGGTCGGGCTTGGTCAGTGTTCCATATTTGCCCTTGGCTTCAACGATGACTATGTTGCTAACATTTGCTAACACTTTGCACAATATGAAGGGGCATAAGTGAGGTCATCCTGGTCTCCAGGGAAAATGCTTAACCATCAGGCAGAGGTCTTGCAGCTTGCAGCCCATAACTTTGGGCACTGACTCACTTCCTTTCAGACGGACCTTCCTTCTCCCCAAAATCATCGCTAGACTCGCATGTCACGCGAGCGGATCGACCCTCACACCTTGTGGAGGTTGGAGGTGGAAATCCTGATTCAAAGCCGGTGCCAAAGAGAAGTTGGGGTGTCGACGTGGCCGTTGAGGTGAGACATGTCTAAAAATGGGACAACATGGGAAAACCATGGATGATCATCAGGGGACCATCATCGCATCGTATCGCATCACACACGACTTCAAAGGAGGCAACGAAACGGGACTTCGTGGCGCGCTTACGAAAGGCTCGCCCAAAGTCACTCACCAGAGTGCAAAGAGTGATTCTCAGATCTGGGACAAAAAGGCCGCAAGCTAAACGGAACATCCTGTGAGCTTTCGGGAGGATGTATGGCAATCACAATCTTAATTCGTGACGGATTCTTATGACCATCTTAGGGGCCGGCGGGTGAGAGGGACACCGGTCCTGTCGGTCTCCTCCTGCTTGTTCTTCTGGAAGGCTCGTCTCAAATCGTTCATTTGCGCATCGGTGAAGCCTGGGCATCGGGTGAAGCTCGTCTTTTCTCCGCAAGATCACGGGAGCCTCTAGAAGTTCTACACTCCAGGAGGAGTGGAACAGATCTCTCTTTGAGGCGAACCAGTTTGAACTGGGTCACCGGAAAGTGAAGGAGCCACCGCAGGGTTTAGCCCAAGACCGGTTCATGGGTCGGTGCAGGGATCATGGAAACGACGAGCTAATGATTAAAGGACCCCACGTGACACATAGATTCACACGATTTCACAAGTCACCAGTAGATCCAGTAGTGGCTCAGATCGTGCAGATCGTGTGCACCGGCATGATCCGCCAGATGCATGGGTGGATCCTGCACCCACCTACCCACCTTCTGCGCCTGTCTAGAGGCCTGTCAATGGATGTCGCTCAAGCTATCCACTTTGGGGATGTGCAGGACATGGCCAAACCAGTTGGAGAACACACTCCTCAGCGGGACTGCCCCACCAAGTGATGTGCCAAGTCCAGCTTACCTTTGGTTTAACTTGGCGTTATTGAAAACAACAACTTGTGGAACCATCCATCACTTCCCATCATCACCACACACTCTTTCCGGTTTTGCAACCACCTCCCACACGGGTGTTAACCCCCCCCGTGGCCCACGTTTTTCCGCCTTCGCGATTGCGCAGGCAATGGAGCAGCAAGCAAACCGCATCCATGTCCATGTGTATCGCCAAATCCTGGAGAACATCTCTGGGTCCTCTTCCAAAACACTGGACGATAACCAAAAGTCCTGAGCAAAGAGATCCAGTTCCAAGAAAAGCTGGAGGTCACCAACCCGGGATTCCTTGCTGGACTCCAAAACATATCAAGAATGAAGTACTTACCCTCCCTGCAACAATCATGGAACTGAACGACAACCCCCTCTTGCTAGAAGAATATCATCTTCCAAGGGGCCAGGCCATTCACTTTGGTGCTTGTTTCATGGAGTGTTCTACACAGAAGCACTCCCATGCACTGCATCTCCCCAGGCACGGCCCCAGGCGGCATACGGCACCACCTGGAGTTGTTCGGGATCCATCTTCGGAGGGCAAAGCTTCGCTTCCTGCATGGCGTCCTCGGTGGTCGTCCGAAGGAAGGAGCCTCCCTCCATTTATAGTGGGATGGACTCCCCACGGAATGGACTCACTGGATCCAGTCTAGAGGATTTGAGGGGTTTTGGAAGAGAAGAGGAATGCAAATGAAGGCGACCAAATAAACACCCGTGACTTGGGCTGCTTTGGAAAATATGCAGCCTCTTTCGTAGTAGCTCTACTTTCCAGCCTGGATCACAACGACCTACTTCTTGAGAGCCTTCATGTCATGCTGAGAATCAGCGTGCACCCAACCCCCCAAAAAAATGAACTGGCGCCCTTTCGACTGAGCACTCTCCACCCGTCCGGAAAAAAAAATTAGATCCCAAAGGCGGCCAAGGCTGGAGCAGAAGCTTGGTAACCCAGTGTCATCAGGAGCACCTGCGACTGATGACGCGAGTTTTCGCGAAAAAGGGGCGAAAACTCGATACACTCCTGGAGAGTGACCTAGGCTGTCCTCCTGCTGAAAGGCATGCTGGTCGTGTGGATGAAGAGTCCGAGTTCAACATTACGGACGGCTTCGTGGCGTGCACCCGGCCGGACCCACTCGGTTCTGACAAGACAGGAGCCACAACTCATTTTTGTAGGGACTTGGGTTTCTCAAATGTTTCAGGTCATAATCAATGAAGGGAAGATCTATACTTCTTAAGTCTCTAAGTATGCTGGAGCACCTGTTGGAGTTTTAAGGCTCTCTGAGACCTCCAATGCCCACCCACCCACCCACCGGTCCATGTGCTCTCCGCCTCAGACCACATCACCAGCGACCCCCGACTGCATCACACCGGACCCCGACCCCCACCGCATCGGAACCGGTCCTCGCCTCAAGCTCCCGCACCGAGGAAATGTGGCCGTCGCTCGGGGACCGGCGCAGCACCTGTCGGATGGTGCTGAGCTCGGCATCCTCGGGGTGCTGGCGAAGGGGCCGGCACGTGCGTTGGGGGAGCACCAAGCATGGTGCGTGAGGATCTTGGGGAAGAGACTGAGTTGGAGATAGAGTGCTCCCGCACTAAAACGTGTCCAACACATTTTTTTGGAAGGGGTTCACTATGGCTATGGTTCACTAGACACATATGTCTGGCTGGAGGCCGCTGAGTTTGGAGCTTGGCAACTCATGCGTTCCAGACTGTCCAGGTCTCAAACCATCTCCAGCCTGGAGAATCATTTGACACACCCTGCCCTGGTGGACCTTGTTTTTGATACGTTTTAGCCCCTCAAGCCGGAATGGGAAGAGGGATGAAGACCGTTTTTCTGCCAGAATATGCCCGTTTCTGGATGTGGTATCCAATCGAGTGATGAAGTGGCCGGAACCAATTTGAGACCCCCAGATACCAGATATGTCCCAAATTGTCCCCAGATAGATGGCTACAAGACATGGGGGTTGTGCCATCGAGCCTCTGAAACCACTTTGGTGATCAATCACCGAATCCTAGTGGACCCTACCAGCCCGGTCGAATTTCAGATCGAACGGTTTTTCAACACAACCGTGAACTGGACCGACGCAAACCATGCAGAGCAAACCACGCAGAGCAAACGAAGCAAAACAGTGGCAAAGCTTCCCGCTTTGTTGCTGTCAACTCATGTCAAGTCATCTACCTGATGACCCCATTCTTCCAGCAAAACTCCTATCATCCCCTCTTCCCCATCAGCAGCTGACTGGTATTCGCATGTATTCGCCAGTAAAGGACCCAAACTAAGCACCTGTGGGGATGTGGGGATTGTGGGTAGGGTGACCTGAGCACCAGCAGCTTGGGTTTTCCCCATATGACCCTCCCACCTCTTGCAGTTTTCCCTCCATGTGTTTGCAACAGGCGATCTGGCGGTAACTAGATGTGCTGTTGGAGGCTTGCTGCCTGCAAAAAATAGTGACCCTGCCAACATAAGCCAAGTAAACACCTTTGTAAAAGAAAAACCATCTTCCACCAGGTTCGTCCGAGTTCATCCCCTGTCAACTTCTTCCTCTCTCCACGCACAGATGCTTGGATATGCCGAAGGCAAATGACAAACTCCGACTCGCTCAGGACGCCATTCCCTCGGTCGATTCCCAGCGGTGGCTTCACCCCACGTGGGCTGCCACGGATTCACCGGCGTTCACCGGGTTCACACCACCGGGAGGTCGATGCAAACAGGACATGTGAAACATGTGAAGAAATGTCCATGGTCTTGGAATGTCCCGGAGATCTGGATGTTTGACGACCTGCTTCGAAATCATGCACTTGTCACTCACCAACATTGTAACATGGAAGTAGAGAATGACCCAAGACTACTTTCACAGGAGAGCTCCACTTCCATCTTAAGTCAGAGTGTCATTCCCTTTTGAGGTGACAAGTCTCACGTTCCGTTGGGTGCCTCCTGTGTGGTGTGGTCACCTCTTTTCAGACCTTTTTGCTTCAAAGGCCAAGAGAAGGGTCCCAGCTTCCGCCCCGAACTGGCTCGGAACAGGACACGTGATTGGAAGGGGTCGAAAGGCTTCAAACATGTTGGAACCCTGGGTGTCCGTTCCACCATTGATTTTATAGCCTTTACGGACCAGGACTTTACACTAGAAAACCCAGCTAACTTGTTATTTTAAAATGGCCTTGGAAGGCTTTGGTGAAGGCTTCTCTTGCAAACTGGGGGCCGTTCATGTCGCTTTGCTTGTAGAGGCTCTGCACCTTCTCATTGGTATAGGGGAAGCCAAGCCAGGATAACCTTAGTCGAATGGGAGAACTCCCAACAAGGAGCTATCAATTATCAGCATTGCTTGCAGGAGGCTCACTCAAATAATAAGTTCCAAACAAGTGCACTGTTGTGTTCAAAGTCGACGGCACAACTTATTGGCCTAGATTCACTACAGGAATGGTACACACAGATGTAAATATATACCATGGCACGTACCATGGGCAAAAGAAATATATACTGTATATATAATATATGCATATAAAATATAAGATCCAGATCCAGACAGACAGACAAACAGACAGAGAGGGACAGGGGGGGAGGAGGGAATACAAGCTGCAAAATAGCTAGGTTGAAATGAAGGAACGGGGGGCGGGAGGTGAATTTTCAGTGAAGTAGGTTGCTGCTGGTGCTTGACATGTCCCTCAACAAGGACGTCCTCCTATGAAGGCATCCAGCCAAGACTGTACTACAGTCCAGTTTCAGCAGGTTCATCCTTCAGGTATATAAACTAAATATGAAAACAAACAAACAATTGAAGGAACCATGTTCTCTGTCTGCCGTAGGGAAATGTCCTGTAAACCTCTGGATCCTAGATTTGGGTCACCATGGTTGGGATCCTCCTCCTTCTGCCCTGCCACACCAACCAGTCTGTGTCCCAAGAAGAAGGACAGTGAAACAACTTGGACTTCTTGCTCGTGCCCCCTCTGTGGATATCACGGCCACTCAAGGAGGGTGAAGAGCAAATCCTGATATAGCATATACAAGCGATGTGTCCCCAAAGGCACCCTCCCAGGGCTGGGCAGGACTGTGCCGTGGCCCAGCGGCGCACTTCCCAGCTCCGCGGCGGACATGTCCCCGGAGGCGTCGGAATCCTCGGGTGAGGACCCTCACCCGCGCGGGTAACGGCGCGAGTCAAAGGAGTGCAAAGAAAACACGATAAGAACAGGGTCAAGTAGGGTCTAGGCTCATTCATGTTTTAGAGTCGATGTCTCTACATCATGTGGTTGAAAGTCATCGCGTGCATCATCCACATCAACCTGTTCTACAAATATTCGCTCTCTCTCTCTCTCTCACCTCTCTCTGGCTCGGTGGGGTCGCCAGCTACCACGCAGCACCAATTCAGGAGCATCTGCAACAACGCTGGACTCGATGCAGGAGAGAAACCTAGTTTGTTTGCACACAGATACAGGTTTTTATATATACATATAGAGATAGGGGAGATTTATATACTTATACAATCTTATACATATATGCATATATATAATATATATATATATATGCATTTATCTATGCCAAATAAAACATTAAATCACCCATGCTCCCCTCAAGTGACATGTGCACCACCAAAACTTGCCATGGACTTTTTTCTGGAACTCATCTAGTCTACCAGGAAAATTCGACCAACTGGTCCCTTCAGTTCGCCACACTGGTGTCGTGGGCCCGCCGGCGTCCCCAATACTCCCCCCAAATAAAAACAGAGAGGTTAAACCTGGAGTTCGACCCTGTTAAAACAAAGTCTAACGGTGCACCCTTTTTCTTCCTCTTCTGGTTAAACGTGTGGGTCTCACCCCATCCATTCTTACCCCAGCATGAGCTCCTTCCCACGCGCTGTGCGACCGCGACGAGGGCAAGCGGTGCCCGAGCGGCGAAGTCTTGGAACACGGCCCGAAAGCGCTCCAGTTCCTCCACCAGGAAACCTGGAGTCGTCGAGCCGGGGGGGCTATAGCGGGTACCGGTCGGGGTCTTCGTTCTGATGACACGACACCGAGAGAAGCGAGCGAGGGTGAGGGTGAGGTGTTTCTTAGTTTTTCGAACGACTCGGGCTGAGTGGTTGGAAGTCCTCAGTTCTACCACAACATCGCAGGACCTTCCTTTAACCCTGAGAGTCTAGTCATGACTCATTTTACCATATTTTACCCCTATGGCCCTATGGTAGTGGTGGATTTTGACTTCCAGGTGGGATAAATGAGTCCTTAGAAGTTCATGGGTAAGTCTCCTCTTCCGCAACCAATGGTCCAACCCCTCTACGCTCCAACGAAGGGAAGTGGAAACGGTGGGTTTTCCACCCTGTCCGCGCCAAATCGCCTTCCCGGAGACGGCCATGCACGGCCGTGATGGGTTCGTCAAGAGGGTCACAGGACGAAGCTGTGGGAGGTGCTGGGAGCGAAGGTGATCTTGGCCGCTTTTGGTGTAGATTGGGTGTGTCCTACTACGTGCAACAGCCGATGCACGATGATCACTATTTTGGAGAAAGGTCTGCAACTGAACCATCATCCATTGTTAATGTCAACATAGGATTAGGCAACCCCCCCTATTAGTCTACCCAGCATTCAGGCCTCAATAATAAACTAATTTGAACTATGAATTTCCACAGTCACCACCCTCTAATAAAAATGTTGCTTGGCTGAACCCCCCCTATTAGTCTACCCCCTGTCCCACCAGGAGAAATACAATTACTTAAATATATTAGTCTTCCATCCCAGCTCTTCCAAATACTAATTCCCTTTCATTCCAATTCTTCCAAATACTAATTCCCTTTCATCCCAACCCTTCCAAATACTAATTCCCTTTCATTTCAATTCTTCCAAATACTAATTCCCTTTCATTCCAATTCTTCCAAATACTAATTCCCTTTCATCTCAATTCTTCCAAATACTAATTCCCTTTCATCATCAGGTCATCCCCACTATTAGGGGGATGTGATCTCCAAAACCTCCAATCTCAAACCTTGTTGACCTTGTTGACCTTCTAGGGGGGGAGCCCGTTGATTAATCCGACGTCGACATTACTGGGAATGTGATATATCCAAGGTGTATAGACATGACACCGTCACAGACCCTGGGTGAAACCATCGCTGAGAGCCCCTCGGGTTCTTGCTGGGCTGCCGTTTTCAGCAATTGAGGGACCATCGACCGCCCGTCATCAGGGACCATCATGGCCGGATCTCATGGGTTCCAGCGAGCCCAGCTCCCCAGCTCTCCAGCTCGGTGGTCCCACGCGCCTTCCCGCGCACGCAGGAGTTCCATCACGGCCGCCACATCTCGAAACTCCAGAGAGCCGGGCCTCAGCCGAAACCACGACCGAAGCATTCGATGCAAACCGGGCTTCATGGAAGGTGGGCCGGGGATAATGGACGAGGCTTCGAAATGACCTGAAGGATCGAAATCACAACATTGCTCTGGTCACATGGAAAAAAAGAACGAAACCACACACACCCACGAAACGACACGCATCCGATCCGAATGCGCCTCAGCTGGCCCTTCGGATCTGAGATCCGAGGTATATCTACTGACTGTCAGAAGAACGAAACGACCAACATTCATCAAAACTCCTTATATCTCTTCACGATATGATCTCCATTGGCCCAGCTCCAGAATCCGCCAGCCCAACCCCGCCATCACGCCGCTCTCAACGCTTCGCTCGATCGAGGAAAACGCCACACGACCAACGGCCGCTGCACACACTTCCTGCACCACGTGGCTTGGCTCCACACACTTCCTGCAGCAGCTCCTCAATGACCACTCGACCTGGGACGAGTTCGATGACGAGGTCGGGCCGCGAACCGGTCCACCTCTGGGGGGTGCACCTGGGTTCCACCCCCCTTGCCCCTTGCGCTTCATTTTCGACAAATGGATGGTTCACGAAAGAACCGCTGGTGATGCAAAAGGATCTCAACTGCCATAAAAATGAGATCAGCTGGTTGCTTGGGTTTCCATGGAGGGCTATATTATGAGACGATGTGAGTCCAGTCATGAGTCTGTTTTTTCGCTGTTTCTCATGATCCGTCCGGCCAAGACCCCACAAAATAGAAGTGCGTGCAACAATGAGTTCCAAGAAGCGTGGCTCCAGACCCAGCTCTGAAAGCAAGAGAGGAAGGCTTTCGACAGACATCGTTCCTGCGGCCGCCGTCGGGGATGACGGCTTGGTTCGAGAAAGCTTCTTTTGCAAGGTGCGCAGCACACCTATACACTCTGGACTCTGGCTCACTAACATGGAAGTGAAAACCTCCTTACCCGCGTCTTTGGGAAGTCTGCCTGACCGGAACTCGCTCAAAGGTGTGTGGCTCGCATTGGCTCGCTGATGTCAACCCCCGCATCCGCATCTTCGCCTCCGCCTCCCCCTCCGCCGCATCTTCGCCTCCCGCCTGGTCCACGCTCATACTTCAGGAACTCCGCCCGGTAGAGCTCGTGCAGCCGAGACTCGTAGAGGCAAACGAACTGCATGAACTCGTCTCCTTGGCACGTGCGGGTCCGCGACGACGTGGTCAGCGACGACGGACAGCCAGATCCGCACCCGTGGACGGGGAGAAGAACTCTCCAGTGGAGCGAACGAGATGGAATGAAGTTCCACGTCACGTGGTGGGCTGAGAGGCAAGAGTTCTCTGGGAGATGTATGGCCTTGATGTATGGCTTTATGTTGGGGTGACATAGAGGAGAATGTCGATCCTCACATTGACTGACAAACACTCAGCATGTGGAGAGTGGGAATGTGAGAAGGGTTGTGAATAGGGTGGCCTCCCAAAGACCTCAAGGAAGAAGGAAAATAGACCAAAACCCACTGCTTGGGATCTCCCTAGTGGAAACGACGCAGCATGAGGGTCCAACCTCATTGTCGGGAGTTGCAAGGCAAGATGGGAAAAGTCATGAAAGATCTAGGAGTCTAGCAGTACCTTCCTTTCGGGGCCTCCAATGGAATACCCTATGCACTCCTTTCAAGGTCCGGCTGTTGGATCATATTTGAGATCTTTTCCAGGTGCTGTGTCATCGGCCGACCCAGCCCATGGTAGCGACGAAGGGTTGTGCTGGCTTCGCATCTGACTTGGGATTGCACACAAGTGGCCTGGGAAAGGGCCTTTTTGGTCCTGCCGAGATGTCCCAACCACCCATTTTGTCATTGTTGATCTTGCCTGGGGGAAACCAACAAACATCCCATGAAAACGTGCACAATGTATCAAGAATCCTGACAGACAGTGGGAAAGTTGAAGCTGCCAATAACCTGAAAAATATCTTCAAGCATCTACACTACACTACACCTCTCTCTGTCGCTCCAACGTCGCTTCAACATGTTTCAAAAAATAATCATCGAAACTTCAATGGAGCACAAGAACGCTGCGAACGTCACAAGGGCATCGCTACGATGCCCGGGGCGACCCTGGCCTTACTACGAACGGAACAAGAACGCCACGAACGCTACGAACGTCACAAGGTGTCCTTGGAGCTTTGGCTCACATGGCCCACAACGAAAGCGTTCTCGGACCGGTTCTCCAGGGCGTACGTAGTGGAGATCCAAGGTACGTAGCGTAGGGCATTCCATTGAAGACCCCCCCCATTATTCCAGAAGGTGCTGGGTGGATCTGGGATGATCTGGGTGGTATGTCATACGGTATGTCACATGTGCCAGTATGTTCCTGTGATCTTTTCGGGGACTTGTGGGAAGCCAGTCTCCAACATCAAAGGAGCCTTACAAAAGAAACCCCTCTCCAACAAACACGGTAGTTGGAAAAGGGGGTACCCAACGTTCCCTGCTTGGAGAAGCCCTGTCGGTCCCATTTGGATCGGCACCAGGACCGGTTTCGACCACCAGGGCCCAAACCGAAAAGGTCCGACGCGCCACAAAACACGAACAAGCACGAGCACCGTCTTGATCCTTTTTTACCATTCCAGGCACAAAAAAAATGAGTGCTCATCAGGCTGATTTCGAGCCAGGTCCATTGGATTGGCTGAAGAAAAAAATACAAAAGCGCCCCTGGCCGGCAGTGGCGGTACCATGCGCAGAACTGTAATCCACAAAGCTGGCCCTCAGAGCCCATCAATGAACAACATCAACAATATAACTAAAAAACAATATATATATATATATATTTCAACAATTATAAACACATGGACTGCTGCTTTATGTAGAAAACTGCACATGGAGATGTAGAAGTATCGAGGTAGATGTTCATCCTTTTGAACCATCAACCGTCAACACGACGTGCCAGGATGTGCCAGGCCCTGAGCTACAACCGTGGTGATTTTGTCTGACCCGAAGGCCCTCTGCTGCTTCACGACCCTTGGAGTCCCTGAGCTGGATCGCAGCCCGTATCAAGTGCAAAGAAGAAAACAAGAAAACGATTTAGGCCTTCCAGGGGGCATCCCATGAAGAGCTGCCTAGTAGGATGGTCGCTTGGTTGATGGGTGATCCGCTTTTCTCCCTCTCAAGGTGTTTGTACATGGAGCTCCTAAAGTGACATTTCCCTGACCCAATGTGTTGCCAAACCCTTTGGAATCGAGCCAACACCCTTTGGAACTCCTTCGGAATACGTCCATCCTGAATCCAGAAAGAGCGGACCTGGAATACCTCTCAGGTTCTAGGAGCTAGGTGCACGTAAGGCAGAGGGAGAGAAAGCAAACGCCACTTTGAACCTTCAAGAAAGGGGTTCTTCACCTCGAAATGGACTTGGGGAGAGTCATGGGCGCCAGGCATACGCCTCGACACAGCTCCAAAAGAGACGCCAGGGAAAAAAGGGCCGAGCCTAGCTCCGGAAGAACTACGTGCTCAGTGTCTCACTGCGCCAAGCATCGTGGAACTTCAACCTCTGACCAGCAACGCAGCTGGACAGATGGTCCTTTGAAAAAATACAATAGCAAGAAAGAATTCTCTCCGTCCCGGGGCTCCGTATTCCATGGATCTTCATCCGGTCATCGCTGGTCCTATCCATGTCACAAGAACGGTCGACGCCCTCCGGGACGGTCCGCCATGCGGAGGCGCCGAGGCAAGCCTTCTGGGACGGTGCCGAAAGCTACGGGAATCCTCACCCTGTTAGATATGCACCGAACGACGGGCTGCGGGGATCTGCCGACGACATGGCCGGAGAGTTTCTGGGCATTTTGAGGAAAAATTGCGGCATGCACGCCGCTCCTGCATGCCAAGCGCCGCCTAGCTGATAGCGCAGCAGCCATGCATGGCTGCGTTTTGCTTCACGAGCCACGGATTGCCCAAGGCTTCTTCTGCACTGTAGCGTTCATTCTCCGGAGCAACCATTTGCTTCGCAAAATCCAGAGCATCAGTTCCGAGCCTTGGCCAATTCACCCGGCTCTGAAAGCCTTTTTTCTGTCCTGCAGCCTGGAAGGCTCAACAAGAACCAAGTTCATCTTCACAGGAAGAGCCCCCCCTTTCACCCACATGAGCCCAACCAACAGCCCCTCGTCTCACCGTCTCTTCCGCGCCGGTGCGTCGACGCGGACTTACACGCCATGCGGAAAAAAGGAAAAACAACAAAACACATGCGTCGACGGTCCTCGTGGAAACGAGTCCCTCCTTGGTGGGGAGTCCCTTCTTGAGAAACTCCTGACTCATCTGACTCATTTCAATAACGAACTCTGTCAGTGGTGACTCTGAATCAGGGGCAGCTGACAGGGATCTACCGCGTTTGCTACCAAAAAGCACGAGAAAAACATGCAAACAATATCAAATAATCATCAGCCTAAGAAGCTTGTTCCCCTTCCAGGTCTTTTCACTCATCAGCTCTTTCCCCGCTTCGATATCCTCCTGATTCTGGGTATGCTCGGGTCGCCAGTAATGCTTTCCCGTCACCAAGTTGATGAAGAGAACTCCCATGCCTGGGCCATGTCAGATTCCAAGGTTTCTTTCTGTTGAGGGATTCTTTCGGGGGTCTCCCTATTCTAATACACATCCATGTAGAACTATACCTGCTACGCTCTGAACAATTGGTGTTTCCTGGTGCTGGTGTACTGAAACCACCTGTTAACGCTCTTATATAAGTTCTAATGCTAATGCAGGTGGCATCGTGTTTGAACATGGTTTTGGCCCGGTGAAAAGGAAAAATACAGCAGAGCTGGAACCTTCTCACAAAAGTCGTATGAAGGTTATTGCGGATGTTGTAAGCTAAAAGGCTGGTGTCTGTGGGCCTACCCCGTCACCTGATGTTGCTTTCTGGCTGCCAATTGCTTGTGGGGGATCCGTTTCGGATGAGCACGATAAATATATATATATAGATACATATCAATTCAATATATTGACAGTTGTTGATCCCTATCCCAGCATCAATCCATACCACATAATTTTTACAAACTTTTACAGTGTAGCTCTAGCCTCTGGCCTCTAGTTCTTTAGATTTGCAAGTTCCAGGAGTGCACAAAGCAGAGACCCCTGATCACCCCCAATCGCTGTCCCGCACACGGTGGCGACGCGATGGGCGAAATGGTCCCAATTCTCGGCCGACTCGTGGAAAGGACCCTGACTTCTTACTTAGACTTAGTTGGGTGAAATTCTGCAGTATATTTATAATCCATTAAAAGACATACAGTATACATTACACCCGGGAAGGTTCACATGGAACCTGAACAAGGACCTTGGGAAGACTAGCTTCCGTAGTTTTCAGGTTCCATGTTAATCTTCCAGGGCGTACTCTCCCACTCACTTGTGCGCAACGGTAAACAAGACCCCGTGAAATCGAAAATTCGTCTCCCACCGGTGTCATGTTCCCCCACTCGGCTGGATCTGCTTTTCTGGACGTAGATCCCAGCTGCCAAGGGGTGCACAAACATCTGAAATTGGGACGTTTCAAGGCCCGAAACAAAGGGAAGAAATGTTTTCCTTCATTGCCTTCACGGCACTTACCACACACTTCGACATTGGTTTTCAGTTAACTCAATTTCCGGGAAAAATGGTGAGGGAACGGCACGGTGAAAGGTCCAAAGAGTTGAAGGTGTTTCAACAAATGGTTTGCGCACAACTGCAGTGACAAGCTGTAAAAACCGCGCGGCTGCTGAAAGTGGCGGAGAGAAAATGGTTTGAGGGGTAGGTAGCATGAAGGACCATGAATCAAACCGATCAAATTGGACAGCGTGGTCAAAAGTTTCGGTTGCAGGTACACGAATGGACGTCTCCATTCGCTTCCCCTCCAGCGACTTAGCTTCGTTGGACAAGGTTCATCGCTGGAGGCCTTGCCCCCTGCTTGAAATTGGAGTGACAGGTAAGTGGAGTAACCCTTTGAGACAGGGCTGGACACACACAAAACGCCGCTATCGGCGCAAGTGAAGCGTGGTGGATGGACTTTTTTCAAAAACCGTCTGCAGGCTGCAGGGTCATGCCCCTTTTGGACATAAAGGCGTATCAGCTCTCCTTGAAATTCCAAGATCAGCTGCATACCGAATTCGGCAACATGCATGAAATCTGCCATGAAGAACATGTAATGATAAGTATCAAAAAACAATCTGGTAGTTGCAGTCT